TGATTCTTTTACTTTGGTCATATCGTGATCATCAATGTAAATTATAATATGAATCTCCTTGCAGTCTTCTCTGAACGGATCTGCTTCAAATCTTCCAGAAAGTGCTGGGAGGTCATTTGCCACGTCATTTTCTGGCCAGTCTGGTGCTGCCTCCCCAGTTTTCCATCATGGTGGTGAGCGGATCTTGCTAGGGTTAATCAGTTTCATCCTCCCATTTAGTTCTAAAATTGGTAGGTTCTTGCTGCAGGGGCTATCCAGGGATTGCACGGCATTCATGGCAGCTTTAATGTTCCCAACATGCCAGGTACACTTGCATCAAGAAATTCAACAATAAATAGCATCCCATCTGGAGGGGTTCAACAACCTACTGGAAGCCTTTCTAGTGGAAGATTTGCATCAAATAATCTTCCTGTTGCTTTGTCTCAGGTATTTGTGCATATATTTATGTCTGGTTTTATTGAGAGTATTTCACTAACTGATTTTTTGAGCATATTTTTTTTCCTTGTATTTATTTTTTCTCTGTTGCACTATTTAAAAGTTTTCTCTCTCTTTCAATCATTTGCAGCTAACTCATGGAAGCTCTCATGGACATTCGGGAGTAACAAACAGAGGAGGTATAAGTGTTGTAGGAAACCCTGGATTTAATAGTAGCACAAATGGAGTTGGCGGTTCTATTCCTGGGATTCTTCCAACATCTGCTGCAATTGGTAACAGAAATGCTGTTCCAGGATTGGGAGTATCCCCAATTTTGGGAAATGCAGGTTCCCGAATTCCAAGTTCTATGGGCAACATGGTTGGTGGAGGGAACATTGGGAGGAGCATTAGCTCTGCTGGAGGATTGTCTGTGCCTGGTCTTGCTTCTCGTCTAAATTTAAGTTCAAACGGCGGATCTGGTGGTTTAAGTGTGCAAGGACAGAACCGGTTGCTGAGTGGCATGCTTCCACAAGGCATGCATTTGTTACCTTAATTATGTCTTTTCCCTCCCAAAAGGTCCTGTGGCAATGGCATTAAACTCTTTTCATGCAGGCCATTAATTTTATGACTGCTGAATGATAATTGGTTTCTGTAATTGAGAATTAGTTTTCTTGAGTCACCAGCCTTGGTCATTGACATAATTTTGTTTTCTCTCACACCTTTTCTTTCCCTTTCATTTCATTTGTGTGTCTTGGATCTGAGGATTTTATTCATGCTATAGGCTATCATGCATCCCTTGATGCATGCTGGTTGTCTTTGTCTTACATTTGGATCTCCATCTATCTATTTTTTTAAGGGATGTTTGGATGCTGAATTATCTTTTATTATATCTCATTTGTCCCCAAATCTCCCCTCATAGAGATTGCGTACCATATTCCATCCTCGTAGTTCAAGGCAACTCAAAATGATGTCTCGTGATGTCTTGATGTTATATTTTGCTATGGTGGTAAACGTGCTTAAAGTATCTTTGCTGATGCGATGACCTTGTTAGTAGGTAGTCTGTAATTACACATCTAAATGCTTTTTGAGCCTTGAAGCCTGTCGGAGCTTAACCCACCTAAAATTTTCTATTACAAAAAAGGAGTGCTTAAAGTACCAGTTTCAAAACTGCTTGTTGCATTAGTATATATGCATTATGCGATTACATTATTTGTGTTTAATGTATGATTAAGACATTTTTTCTTCTCATGTATTGAGTTGCTTTTATTTAGATAAAGTATATGCTACTTTCTGGTGATAGACAGTGTCTTCTTCGTACAGGATCACCCCAAGTTATTTCAGTGCTAGGAAATTCCTATCCTAGTGCTGGAGGTCCCCTTACCCAAAGCCATGTTCAAGCAGTAAATAATTTGAACTCAATGGGGATGTTGAATGATATGAATTCGAATGACAGCTCCCCTTTTGACATCAATGACTTCCCTCAGTTGACAAGTCGGCCCAATTCTGCTGGAGGGCCCCAAGGACAGTTGGGTATGAGAAGGAAAATATTCTTCTGCTTGTTACACTCATTCATTTCCTCCTACGATAATTCTATAGGCAAACATTTCAGGTTCTTTACGAAAACAGGGTCTTGGAGTTAGTCCCATTGTCCAACAAAACCAAGAGTTTAGCATTCAAAATGAAGATTTCCCAGCTTTGCCAGGATTTAAAGGTACAATTTTTGCTTATATGTGCGATCTATTTTGTTGCATTTATTGTTACTGTTGGGAGTTTTTTGGAACCTTCTTGCGCACTTGCAGTGAGTGGAGATTGCTCGGTTGCTTCAGCATTTGTTTTTGATTATATTAGTATGTGTTCAGGTGGCAATGCAGATTATGCTATGGATATGCACCAGAAAGAACAACTTCATGAGAATGCTGTGTCCATGATGCAATCTCAGCATTTTTCTGTGAGTTGCCTGTTCTAATATACTCCTTCTGGTCCTAAGTATCAGACCTAATTCATAGAGGTTAAGGAAACTGGTGGTTATTTGTTACTATCATGTAGCAAATGTGTAACTTTTCTTAAAATATCCCTCTTTTAATGAGGGTATTAATTTGGGAGACAGAGAATGAGAAAAACTGAAATTAATGAGTAATTTGGGAAAAAATATTAGATGAGGGAGATGAAGAAGATTGAGGTCTTATATTTAGGACCAAAATATATCCCCCATTTCGATCGTATATTTAGGACTGGAGGTGGTATTAAGGAATTGTATTTACTGTTACATATCATTCTTTTAGGATCTTAAATCAAGAATCTTGGTTTTAACTTCTCTTAATATGCAGATGGGAAGGTCTTCTGGTTTCAACTTAGGGGGGACATACATGTCACATCGGTCACAGCAACAGCAGCATGCTCCTTCTGTCAGTAGTGTTGGCGTCTCCTTTTCATCTGCAAACAATCAGGAACTTCTCCATCTGCACGGGTCAGATATATTCCAATCATCGCATTCAACCTATCATTCCCAGGTCTGCTAGTTTTCCTGCTGATTGGTTTTGTTGCATATGTAACTGAGCTGTTGTTTATTTATTTTAAAGTACTTAGTATATAGCTTGTTTTGCAGTGAGAGGTGTAAACTAATATATGAAGCAGATGTTCCTGATTTTATTTTATTTTTTTTAATCATTTTTTTAGACCAGTGGACCCTCTGGCATTGGATTAAGGTCTCTAAATTCTCCAAATACTGTTTCTGGTATGGGATCGTATGACCAGCTTATCCAGCAATACCAACAGCACTCGAGCCAGCCCCAGTCCCAGTTTCGTCTTCAACAAATGTCAGCTGCGAATCAGTCTTTTAGGGATCAAGGGATCAAATCCATGCAAGCTTCCCAATCGACACCAGATCCATTTGGTTTGCTTGGCTTGTTAAGTGTGATCAGGATGAGTGATCCGGATTTGACATCTCTTGCACTTGGAATTGATCTTACAACACTTGGGTTGAATTTAAATTCATCAGAAAATCTACACAAGACTTTTGGATCTCCATGGTCTGATGAACCAGCTAAGGGCGATCCAGAGTTCACAGTGCCACAGTGTTATTATGCTAAACAGCCACCTGCCCTGCATGTGAGATGCTCTTTATGATGTCTTGTGAGTTTTTGGTTCTTTTTTTTTTTTTAATCCTTTCTCTTAGCCCAAGACTGTTTTCTGGTTCATGCAGCAAGGCTATTTTTCAAAGTTTACAGCGGAGACTTTGTTTTACATATTTTACAGGTGCCTTTTAGAAGCCGAATCTTGTTTTGCCTTGAACTTGTGAGATTATTATAAATTGGTTCTAATTATTGTCACTTTTGCAGCATGCCCAAAGATGAAGCTCAATTATATGCCGCAAATGAACTGTATGCAGATTTTCACCTGTGCATCGTTTTTTGGCGTATATTATTTTGGATTATTTCTGATTTTCTTATTCATGTTTTTTAGTTATTACTAACTGGCACGGTTTCTTGTTCTCAGATATAATAGAGGCTGGTTTTATCACAAAGAACTTCATTTATGGTTGATAAGAGTACCTAACATGGAGCCACTTGTTAAAACAAACACGTATGAGAGGGGATCTTATCACTGCTTTGATCCGAGCACATTTGAAACGATTCGTAAGGTTAGATTTTGTGTGTAAACACCCGCTAGATTATTATTATTATTTTTTTAAAGGTTTCGTTCTTTTGGATTTGTTCTTTTTTAACCTTCTAATTGTGCATCCTTATTGCAGGATAATTTTGTTGTTTATTATGAATTGATGGAAAAACCCACCTCTGCCTCCGCATTGAGGGGGAAGGGAAACTCGTGATGTAAAGTTTCAGTTTATGGTTTTAATTCGTTAGGATGGAAACTTGTGATGTAAAGTTTCAATTTATGGATTCAATTCGTTAGAATGTTTAAGTCATTTTGCAGCATCAGTGCCCCCTCAGTTTGACATTTCTGAATTCTGATGCCATCACTAGCGCATGGGACGACTAGGTGAGTTTACTTCGGCTGTCTTTCTTCAAACCCCTTTATTTTATGCTTACTAGTCGAATGACTATGGATGTGTTTGGATACCAGTTTAGAAGCTCAAAACCCAGTTGGTTTTTGCAATTCAGTTTTTATTGTATGCTTGTTCGGCATGTTTTTGGTCCTTTTTTGGCCAAAAAATATTTTTCTCAGCTGATGCCAAAACAAACACTAATTTGCTATGTGAAATAGCAACACGCAATAATTAATCGAGCAAGTCAGTTATTATACATGTTAGGATTTAGTAGTAGAGTAGGGGTGGAGGATGAGGTCACCTCGAAGATGCGCGCCCTTGTAAATTGCCTGGCAGAACTCGTTGCTTTAGGAATTTTTACGTTTCATTTCCAAGCATTGCATTTATCGCTGGGCATGACGACTTTATAACGAAAGTGTGATGCCCGTAAATTTTGTACGTTTAGCACTCGCAACCAATTAAAGTCACAACCATGATATACACGTTGAATTTGAAAGACAATGTGATGGTTGAGGGAAATTGTACCTTACAACTTGGGTTCTTGGTAAGATGTATAGCAAGCACTTCGGCCATATATTGGTTCAGAATTATCGTGCTTGTTGAAAACGATTAATAAATCTTATACCAAAGTTTTTCACATGGACAAGTTATCACGAACAAACTAGTTAACAGTTAATAATATTTCTTTGATTTCAACACATGTAAGGTAAATCAAAGTAACACGCCCTTGCCCTGAGGCTTGTTAGGGATGTCTGCTTATGCTTTTTCCAAAAGCTCTAAGAAGATTGCGAGGTTCTCAAAACCAAGCTTTTCAGAGTAGGCATTTGGCTCTCGAGAAGCTCCCTTTTGCTCAATATTCTATCAGATGTACAATCCTCTTCCTATCCAAAAGAAGGGGAAAAAGTTATAGACAAGCTAAAAATTCTCAACGATTTCTTTTGTTAGGGCTAATTTTTCAGAACTCCGATTCTCTTGCACTCAGTATGCCTAATTGATGGCTACCCCTTTGAAGCATGACAAGGAAGCAGTTTGAAGGTTTGCCAAAAAGTGAACGATCAACTGTTAATATTAATAAAAGAATTCAGGTGCATAGTAATACTCACATCGCCAGTTGCAGCTGCTAATAATGCCAGAAGAGTCACCGTAGCGCTCTGATAATCAGTTAAAATCTTGAATGACGACTCATCTAACTTGTCCTGAAATTGGATACATGTTAAAAGAACTGTAGAGAAAAGTTATGAAGAAAGTCATTATTTATCAAGTATTCCGCGTAGTCTATAATTGACGAATTGCATTTGGAGATTTCTAACAGTTGGGCCAAAGATGCTATCTCATCTACAATTATTGACCAGCACATATTTCAAGCGTCATTTGGGAGATGGCGGCAGAAATATGGGAGGAAAAAATAAAAAAATAACTTACCTTCAGTTGGGAGATGGCGACAGAAATGGCCCTTCCAGGGGCTTGAAGAGCTTTGTGGTAAACCTAATCATCAAAACATACATGTTGATCGTTGGGGGAAAAAAGAAACTTCGACGAGAGAGAGAAAAGATAGTATAGATATGCTCAAGTTACCTGCACGTAAAGTAAAGACACAACTTTTGCCAGAAGTGATATTGGATCAGTCTCAATAGAAATTTGAGATGTCAGTTCCTGACAACAGAGATGAAAAGCATACAATTAAACATCCCCAGCAAACTAGCAAGACTCTGTTAATCTCAGCTCAAAAAAATTCTTCTCACACAAATATAAGCACCAATACCTTACGATAAGAGTGTAAAAGTGTTCTTTCTAGTTTCTTGTCAAGCTTTTTCAAAGACAATCCACTGGAAAAATTCAAACCAAACCACATATCAAGGATCAGATCACAAAAAACACTGTAGGTCAAATCAATGCTAAAGTTCCAATAACAAATATAGACACATTACCTCTCTTCTGCTACCTCTCTAAAAGCATCCATAAACGTTTCCACCCGCTGTTATATTCAAATAGTAGTCATACAATGCATCCAAACATTACAATAAGTTCAAGAAAAAAAGGGGGGGGGGAGATTTCTAGCTGATTAGCAACATAAAATTTAGACCGCAACATTTACAGAAGGGGTCCAGATCAGCCAATTTGACTGGAGAAAACAAGAAAATAACCAACGGCTGGTCCTTGAAGGCAAAACACTAACCTTTCCTTCCAATGTTTCAACAACACCAAGAGCTTTTTTACAAAGTGCTCCCGGTAAACTCTTCCACTGCAAGAGTGAAAAATGCATGAGATATTTGAGGCCATTTACATGTTCCTAAATGGATATTGTTACAGACACACACACACAGTCTCACAAAGACACGTGCATATATGTAAACAGTGGCTTATTTATTACAATTGCAGTTCTGTCTCCAGGACTAAGGATAAGTAGTTCTGAATTTGAAGCTTCCTCCACTTTAAGCCCATTCTTTAACTTGTTGTGCTCATCCTACAGATGATGAACTTATTTTGTTATATGTTATTGAAAAGAAAAATGAAAGGAGGAAAAATCATAAAGTATTATATTAACAAGTTTAACTTAGAAACGGCCTTTAGACAATACCAACTTACGAAGAAGCAAATCGACCATAGGGGCAGCTACAGTTCTCAATAAATGCCTGTGCAAAACAACCTGGGTATCATCGAGAAGTTAATTTTTACACATTCCACCAACACTGTAAAATTTCAAATTAGTCAACAAAACTTACAGAGGTTGATTGGTCATCTTCAAACAACTCTACAGCTTTTTCATAAAGCTGCATGTTTAAGAAAGACTGCCAGAGAAATAAACAATCAGGCATAGGACACAATGCATACAAGGACATTACAGATGCATGTCATTATAATTTCATAATACAAGTTTAGAAGTTACATTACAGCAAAAAAGAGAAAATTGTAGCATGAACTGCCAATTTAGCATGCTAACCTCATCAAGTTTCTTTTGCAAATTATCAAGCAAAGATTTCATTCTTTCTGTATTTTCTGTAAACAATGCTTTCTTCTTCTCCATCCAGGAAGCCATTATTGTAGGCCTTAAATGATTAGCCAAAGGCCTCAGAATTGTTTCAGGCTCATCCATAGCTATCAGGTTATAACAACTGCATGTGAGAAGACTAGGTAGCATATTAATGAGAAAAACAAATTTGAAGTTAGAATTAACGGACATTGTTCTTCAAAATCAGGAACGAAAGTCATAATCTTCTGCATAATCCACCCATCTGAAGGACTGCTGAGGTTATCATCCTTCGTTTTCCTCGAACCTATTTTTGAATCTGACATTTGTGAGGAGGATGTATCCTTGCCCCTTCTCTGGCTTCTTTTGGATTTTGTGGAAGTCTGTTCTGGAACATCTGCAGCACTGTCAGACACATCGTTCCCAGTAGCCTTTCCCTTTTTCTTCTTTGATCCTCTATCAACATGTTTAATGACACCACCATCTGTTGCAGTTTCATTTGATCGAATCAAGTCTTGCCCAACTTTTACTTCATTCGTTACTTGCGAATCACTAAACATTTTGATGCCAGAGGACCCTGTAACACCTAATGTTTCCAATTCTTTCACCAAGTGCTCACAGATGCCCTAGTTGTTTAGGAGAGAAAACAGTATAAGCAGCAGTCAGAAACTGAAGGAGAGAGGGTCCTCTTCTCTGCCAAGGGACAGCAGAGTGCATTGCATTTTTTTTCTTTAATTCTATGTTTTGGGATGCACAGATAGCAGAAGATCCCAAATCAAACATAAAAATAGGCACGATTGTGGTTTGTGAGATTAACTACTAAAAATGATGACTAAATCAAAGGCCACACCTTCATAAAGCTGTTGCTCAAAACATAAAAATCCCCAAAAACGCGTGCTTTGTTAGACTGCAAAGAAGCATTAAGTATATGAACATGTGAATCAACATTGTTGTCAGCATCCATTAACCAGGCAAGTGAATATCACCTTAAGAGCAGATTGAACTGATTGGCAGAAGGTCAACATTTTAGATGCATCTTGAGGGGTGAAGGATGAAGGCAATAAGGAAAGAGCATCACTCCTGCATCATTGCTACATCAGAATAGAATGCGTACAAAACAATTTAATAAAGACATCCTGCCTATCACTTCAAAAACCAAGGACACATTAGATGAATGCATTTCGAGTGATCCTCCCAAAGGCTTCAGATGGATAAGAAAAGAGGGATCCGTCACCATCATCCAAAAGCTACAACGTGCTGATAAGTGACTACAAAAGAAGTTAAGAGTCTAACAAACATTTATTTTTTTTATAAAAAAAAAAAATCTAGCCCAATTACTAGGTGATAAAGAAGCATATAATTTCTACAAGATTGACAAGGGACACATGCGGGAAAAAACACAGCCACTATAAAGCAAAATGGTGTTGGGTAAGGTTTTATCCAGCAATATGGTAAGGAAGGAAAATAGAAACTGGTGGTGAAGAAAAGAAGAAACATGAATGTGTTAACAGATAAGACTCTTACCAACTACCACGGTCAAGAGCATCCTCAGTAGCAGCATCCAGCATTTCAATCATTGATGGGCGGACAAACACCGTAACTAGAGGTATACCTTCAGGATATCTGGACTAAATTGCATTGCAGGACAAACTCCATTAACTAAAAGTTAGACATCTGATGCAGCTTGAATTATCCAACTAGCATAATCCAAGCGGTTCCTTCAGACAATAACATGAGCAATCTAGTAGTTACCTGCAAGAATTGAATGGGCTGGGGAATTCCAAGTTTCTGTAGAACGTCATAGCTAATAAAAGAATTCTGTAGGGTAGGAAAGAGAATAAAATTAGGAAACAGCAGTTGAGAAAATTGTTTTTCAAAACTTGTCTTAACAATGATAAATATACAGAGTATAAGAGAAACAGTGACATAGTAATTATCCAAATCCAAAAAAAAAAAATTGTGAACAATTTTAGGTCACAGTTTAAGCAGACAAAATATTAGACATCTGAATAATGTAAGAAGATATGGAGCCCGTACCTGTGAAAAGAATGTATCCACAGATTCCTTTTGAGCAATGGCAAAGACCTGTCAAGTCACGCAAGAATAGGAAACCATTATAACTTTTATCTTTGCTTAGCGAAATTATAATACTTGCTTTATCGACAATAACCATTAATAGATCCCAGTGATTGAAATATCAATTCAATTACTTGCATCCAGGTATATGTAACACATGCATTATTGCCTATTGATGTCACCGATACGGCTAATAAAAATTAGAGGATAGTAGAAAATAAACAGGAAAAACTACAAACAAAAAGTATTTCAAACCCTCCCTATAGCTTCAATTAAACATAATGTGGATCAGAAGTGGTTCAATAATAATAAGGTGAAGCATTCTCAAGGCCTGAAATATCTATAAAACATAGACACAGCAGTCACTTTACCCGTTGTGTCCAATGGCTGTGAGAATGTCACTTACCGCAGGTGTCCAATGTATTCCAGCACGAAGTGATCCTAGAATCTCACTTTCCTTCACAAGCCCATTAAAAAGTGCCTGGAAGAAAGCTCCTTCAACAACCACACTGCTGGTTCCATCCATTTCTTGCAGTAATTGCTGTAACAAGCTCCATAAAAATGACAAATTTGTTGGAACAGTGATGCCCCTGGCAGCACCTCGAACCATGGCACCAACACGAGCTACATATGCAGGAGTATACAACTGCCCACCTTCAAGCCTGCCCTTCACCTATATTTAGCATCAAATCTGATTATCACATCTTTATGGTCATTTAATAGTTAAACCCGACGAAGAGAAACAATCACCAACTCACCATCATTCCAAGACGAGGCTCCAACATGCAGGCAATCAATTCTAGACCAACATTTAATTGTGCAGCAAGTTCTGTAAGTGCAATCTGACTGCATTCCTGAAGCCTCTCATTAATTTCTTCAGCTATCGAATCCCAATAAAATTCTGACATAATTTCCCCTTGAACCAACATCATCTCTGGATGATCTTTTATAACTTGTTGAGCCTGCTTCTCAACATGGTATAAATCGACTCCGGTAGCGTCAGCGAGATCAATCAGAGAAACACGCCCTAGCTTCTTAATTTCAGCCACCATCTCATTCCTCAGTTGTTCCTAACAGTATGCATGATCATATTAGGACTAGGAATCAAAAAGTAGAAAAATCAAAGCATAATATACGAAAAATCGGGGGAAAGATCATCCTTCAAGAGGTTAAATTTTAATTGCGAACAGGCAAACCTAACGGCGAAACACAAGTGCTCTTTATTTTTCAGCATTTCATTTTTTCGCCGATCGAATATACTACAACGGAGAATTAAGGAAGAAAAGCAAAACGCCATTAGATTCTTCCCAACAAATTCCATGGATGCAAAGTGACGGTAAAAGGTAAGAAAGCGTACGGGAGTGATGTACTCTTTGCCAGAGACAGTGTGAAGGAGGTCGAAATCTATGATACGAAGCTCCTGCAATTTCTGAACCAATTCAACAACATTTCGTTCCGATAATCGAATATTCGACTTTTCCTGCTGTGCGAACTCGAATAGTCTCTGCAACTCAAGCAATTCATCATCCATGATCGAGAGCACGAATTTTGGTCAGAGATTTCGCTTTCCCGAGCCTTCAATCTGATGTGGCGTCTCGACAGCAAGAAAAAATGTGTTCGGTTTATTTCTTTGTCCTAAGAACAAGAAACGTGTGCTACCCCATGGAAGTCAAGTGAAGCCATCGCCGGGCCAGTTGAAGTAAAATTTAGGCCCACTTGTACATTAGTTCATGCCCCATCCTCAAACATGAAGTTCCGCCGAAATGTATAATAATAAATTTTTTATGTTTTTTTTAATGTATAAATTAATAAGATAACATATTAAGGATATATTTGATTGAGAATTTTAAAAAAGAGATAAGGCTTCCCTCCCCTCGTTTGGTTAAAAAAATTTGGAGAGGAGGGAAGCAAAAAATTCTCTTTCCCCTCACATCTCGCCTCCCCTATTGCTTCCTTTTAATTTAAATTTTTTTTGAAGGAAAATCAAAATTTATGATTAAGTTATCCTTCTCTTTGCATTTGTTTGTGCCTTCTTCCTCTATACTTGAACTAGTTATGTTTCACCATCCACATTAATCGTTTGCCATCTTCTTCCTCATTTTCTATATCTATAACTTCATTTTTTATGCATTGTACAGTCACCATTGTGGGCACCTTTGACTATTCTATGCCTTCTTTCAATTCTCTATTCCATCATTTCCCACATCCCTCAAAGTCTCAAGTATTATGGGTAGTGATTCCTTTTTAATTTTTTATTGTAATGATATATTGATGTTTGCTTCTTTTTTTTGGGCCAAAAAAGAGTTAATTTTATTAATCACCAAGAAATACTACAAACACTAATAGTTGAAGATAAAAATATACTAAAAAAACCTAAATACAAACTAACACACAAAACTCACTAAAAACACTAAAAAAAACCTAAGTACAATCTAACATATAAACTTACCAAAAAAAAAAACCATCAAACAAGGAATAAAAGAAGCAAATTAGCCAATACCAATTTTGTTCCAACAAAGAAAAAAGCTATTAGTATCAAAATTTTTAGTAGATCTCAAATCAGCAAGTAAAAAAAGAGATAAAGAAAATGTTGCTTCCAAAAGCCATCCAGATAGACACATATTCCTAGGACCCATCACCGTTAATCAATTGGCTGCTTCATTACCCTAGCGAGCCACCAAGGAAAAAGAGATCCCCTTACTTAAAATATAACCAATTAAAATATCATGCAAAATATTAGTACAATGTCAGTCATAAGATTTAGACAGCTTACCTATGAGGATGCGATAAAGCATCTCACAATCCATTTCAATAAAAATTCTCTTTCCTTCAAATTTATCAAAAGCTCTCAAGCCTTCCAAAACAGCTATACATTCAGACATGAAAAAAGAAGTGGACACTTCCTTACTACGACCACCTAAAAAATTCTCATAATAATCTCTACAAATTAAACCAATATCAGCTTGATTATTATCCTTAAAAGAACCATCAACATCAATTTTTCCCCATCCTCAACTAGAAAACTCTAACAAGTCTTTCTATGATTCAATTCAAAATTAGATTTCAAAAAATGAGACTTACCAACTACTTTCAATTCAATAAATTTACCAATAATTCTTTTAGCATTTAAAAATGATGTCTGCTTAATAGAATAAACCTCTTATATTAATGAAAAATTAAAATATTAAAATTAAATTGAGAATTAATAAATAAATAATTCAATTCTAAAATAAAAAATTGTGTAGAATTGATATGATAATTAAGGTGCAAAATCATTTTAATCATGCAATTTGGGTTAAGGTCTAAAATTATTTTTCACAACAAATAATTAAAGAATATAAAACTTATATATAAAAATATAATAATAAATTAGTTAATACCTCTCCTCCAATAAAATCTATTAGTGTTACTCGCAAATCAACGATGGATAGTTTTTGCTAGATATTGCCTTTTGTGTTCAAAAAGGGACCCGAAAAAAAAAACAAAGATGAAAATGTGAAGAATAGTTACAATAAAATAAGAATAAACTAAGGCTATAACAGATAATTAAAAGTTGGGTCTCCGTCACAATAGATCTCATTCAACCATTCTCCCTCGTCTTATCTCTACTATTAGATAAGAAATAATGGTTTAGATTTAATTAATTTATAAAACAACTATCTTAATAAATAAATTTAAATGGTTAAATTAACCTGCACAGTTTATTGTTATGATGAAATAAATAAAAAAATTTAATTTATAAAATTGCAAGAAATTTCTTTTTTCTCAACATAATGAAATTTGATTTCAAAGATAGATTTGTTATTAATATGACCATAAGGTGTGGTAGTGACTAAGTAGTTGCATAAGCAGTGGTAGTTTACAAGTTTTGTTATTTGAGTGAATGTTGGCTATTGTCATATACATGAGTAAATTTGCATAGTTAATTGAGTTGGCATGAGTATGAGGGTGGGAGTTCACTATAGAGAAGTAAAAGACTAAAATGATAAAATTCACATGGTATATCCTTCATTGAGTTTGTGCACAATGATTGGCATGTTTTCATTACTTATGGGCTTAGTATTGCTAATAACATTGGATATGGCATGGGTCTAACACAATGCTCAATATCACCAATCCTGGATCAGACAGTAAGGGTTAGATACTTATGACATCCTGAAATTTGAGTAAGGAGAACCTGTAATTCAAGAGTGAGTGTGGGAACCTCGGCTAAGTAACCCCTTCTAAACTGGACAGTATGAGTTAAGCACTTATGACACCCTGAAATTCTAGTAACGAGAACCTATAGTTCAAGAGTAAGTGTGAGAACCTTGGCCAGGTGACCCCTCACAATTTGAGAGTAAAGCTAATGCAATCACACTAATTAATTTTATATGTGTTATTAGCCCATGAGTTCGGCTAGACAACATAAAGAGTAATATAAGGTGATCGTATTGATCATAAAGCATTAATATATGAAAAATTTGTGATTATGTGATGATTTGAGTTATATGCTATGAAATGCCTTCTTAATATGATTGCCACACTTTAATTTACTTTCATTAAGTTTCTTAATTACTGAAATTATTTAATCTTACTCCTGTTACTTAATATTTTTCTAGGAGATGTTAAGGCAAAGTGCAAAAAAGGAAGTCTCTAAGGTCAAGTGCTAGAATATAGTATTGCAATCTTTAGTTGTTTACATTATGTAATGAAGCATATTTTATTTTAGCCAACATTGGGAGTTGATCATGCATATTTATATATGATGTATCATAAATCTTTTGCAAGTGTGCCCTATCTATTAACTTGGGCATTTTAGGTAGGTAGCCTATTTTGAGAAAAAAAAAGGGTCCAATATGCTAAAGTGTTGATATCTATGATTAATGTTTGGATAAGCTTTGATATGCCTAAAGAAATTTTTATCATGCATGATTGTTACTGCATTTGAGTTTAAATTTTGGGTTTTTGTAAGAGGGGAGGCGCTAGGTGTAATATCTCCATTTAAATTTTAATAATTAATTTAGATTAATAAAAATTTTAGAGAATATTCAGAGGTAAATAAATTAGTAGGAGATGATTGTTAGATTTAACTTAGCATATAATTCTAAGTTAATATTTTAAAAATTATTATTATTATTATTATTATTATTATTATTATCATTATTATTATTAGGAAAAGAAGAAAGAGAAATATAATAGAAAGAGAGATTAAGAAATGAAATGTAAATATATACATATAAGTGTATGTGTGTGTATAGGAATTAAATAAAAAAATAAAAAAGGGGGGGAGGTGGAACGTTTTGCTCGTAGTGTAATATACATACATACATACATATATATATATATATATATAAAAAGAAGAAGAAGGAGCGGACGTGCTTGACATACATACACACACACATATATATATATATATATATATTAAAAAAAAGGGAAAGGAAAGCAAAAAGGGGTGGGACCCACACCTTTTTATAAACCCACGCACACCCCTCTTTTCTCATTTTTCCTTCATTTTCTTTCTCTTTTGTTTGCGAACAGGAGGTGCGTCTGCGAGCACGATTTTGCCGGTGCTGGGGGCTACTTTCTTTAAGGTGAGACTTTTTAATAGGATATTTAAGATGAGATTTTAAGTTTTTCAAAACTAAATAATTATTTTAAAAAAATTTTTTAGCCATCCTTCTTCTTTGGTTTCTAATTTTGTGGTGGTAGAAAATCTAGGGTTTGAAAGAGGGATGAATTTTTATTGAATAAATATGATTGTTGAGGTTGTTAGCAGTATAATAAATATTTTAGAATATAAATTTGTTAGTGGGCTTTGAATTTGAGGCTTATGGATCAAACTCTAGGCTAGATTTTTATTAAATTCAAAAATATATGTTAATTTATTAAGATTTAGATGATTATTTGGGATGAAAAATGGATTATTATGGCTATAGGATGATGATTCTAAGCTTGAGAGTCAATTTTTAATTTTTAAATATTTTAGGTGCAAATTTATGAAATAAAAAGAAAAATCTTGATAATAAAATTTGGTTTAGAGGTTGATTTTAGCTTATTAATATTTATTGATGACTAAGAGAGGAGTTAAAAATTTTACCTAATAGTACTAACTCTAGATTTGTATCAAGATTGAGATTAAAAATTATGTTATATTCTCTAATCCTATTATTAGAGTTATTTTATTAGTTTCAATAATTGAAACTAATATTTATAAATAATATGTTATTTGTAGATTGTGTTGTTAGTGAAAATTGTGGTGGGAGAGAAATTATAAGGAATAATTTATTAAAAAAGCCATAAGGTAACTATGCTTTTAATTTGTGTTTAGTATTACTTTATGTTAATTAGATGATTATTGAGAAAATTATGAATTGTTGTTGAGAAATTACCTTATTATGTTTATGGAAAAATTGTGAAATTGTGGATATGTATTTTGAAGTATTTTTGCCAAGTGGGATGTCATGTTGTAATATTTTTAAAAATGAGAAGATTGTGAAGATTGTAATATTATATAATTGTACAATATTATTATGAATTTGTTTGATTAGTGTGGGAGGTGTTGGGAGATTTGTTATTGTTGTATTTATGTGCCACGTGGTACGCCCCTATTGGAGCTCAATAGGTGGCTTGTAAGGGCTCGGGCTAATGTACCTTTGGCCGGATAATTTAGCACCGAGTGAGGGCTACGGCTCGATGTTAATGGAGGGAGATAAGGATAGTTGTTTGTTATGTATTGTAATATTTTTTGTATCTTTGTTAAAATTATATGACTGTTGTTTCCCCACTTAGCAAGCATACATTTAACTGTTTGTATACACTATCATAAATTGGCATTAGTTACTGGGACTTTTGAGTCTCATTATATGGTTAATAATTTTTAGGAGAAGAGCCATGAGTGGCACGTGGAGGAGTTCCTGAGGCTTAGTAGCATAGATCCACTGTCTCTTGTGGGTATTTGGTTTATAATTTTTAATGTGTTATATTGCCAATACTAGGGCTTTTATTTATTGATAATTATATGAATGTAATTATGTAATCATGCCCTTCAAACTATTTTTACTTTTAGTACACTTTAGATGACTGTAACTTTGATCTCTAATTTATTTTGGATGGTTTGAAATGGCATGATTATAAGGCCAAATAATTGGCTCGTTTTGGGAATTGATTAAGTTGTTAGTTATTGGTTTATGGTTTGCATTTGTTGGGAGTATAAACTGAAAAATGTGGTTTTAGCCTAATGGCATGTGGGAAGTAAAAATTTATCTAAGATGTTATATTGTGCAAGCTTAAGCTAATTATAAAATATTTTATATTGAATTTATTGATATAAAATGTGTTGGGTGGCTATAACCCAACTATGATTGTAAATGTATATTAGTTATATAAAATTATTTTATATTATTTAAAAAGGGGTTTAATCTTTTCTAACATGATAATGTTTTAAATTATAGGTTTGTTTCAAAAAAAAAAGGATAAGTTGATTTTTGCTTATTATGGTAGACACTTTTTTATCATGGTTGAGTTAAATTGTTTTTGAAAAAAAAAAAATTTAAGGTGTTACACTAGAAAATGTGCAAGAGGCTTAAAGGCTCATCTTGGTACTTAGTGTTCCTAGGTCCTCATTTGGTATCAAATTGAGTTGTAATCGGTGCCTATAGTTAGATTGTTTTATTAACAGCATGTGAACGCTTAGATCTTAAATGGAGGTTTGAATAGTTAATTAGGAAGCTTTAAAGCTAAGTTTATTTTTTATTGTACTATTCACAAAGGGTTTACTGCAACGAATGGTGAGTTTGGCCATAGCAAGTGAGCAAACAAGTGTTGGCCACGATGAATGAGTATTAAGCCGCGGCGAGCATGCCAAACTACAGTTGGCTCGGCAAAAGTATATTTAGCTGAAACAAATGAGTATAAGGATGCTGTAAATGATTATTCTATCTTTTTGCCCTTTTTCAATGTCATGCCCTGAAATTTCATATTTTTACATATTTTCAAGTACTCTGATTTTTGAAAAAGAGTTTTATTTAACTTCAGTTGATTCTTTGATCCCAAATCTTGGTTTTACTTTGATAAATAATTTAAATGATAATGTCATGGTCAATCCATTTGTTAAGTCGTTGATTAGCAGAGTTTAAATAAAAATTAATAACAAAAGTCAGCACATGTTGCCACTAAGCTAGTAGTTTATGCAGCACCAACTTACATTTAACATATGCATATTTTTTATCCCTGTCCATTTCAAAAAAAGAAAATCATACATGGATGGAATTCCACTTTCTTGTAACTTATATGTATAGCATCCTAATAATTGAAGTTAACCAATTTCAAAACAAGAGATGTATTCAAATATTTTATTAAATAGGTAATTCACTTAAGTTTCGTTTGCTGGAATGAATTGACAAAAAAAAAAAGTAAAAATAAGATGATTAAAAAGAATAGTGTACCATATTTATAAAAGAAAGGAATAATTCAATTCATGGAGTTAAAAATCATAATTTTTGAGACTTTTTAAAAGTGTGATGATTCTCACATCTGTAATATATATTAATGAGTTTTATCATATTTACCATCAGGAAGAATGGTGATTTAGTTCATGTTTATATTAATTTTTTTCAATTCATATTATTATATTTCTTTTTGAGTAATCAAACGAGACCTTAGAGTTTCATGGGAGAATATAGACATACAAATTCATCAGGATAGGTCCTTAAAAACATGAAGAAAGAGTTCAAAATCTGACTCAGCCGACGGGGGCAAAAGTTTCCACCATGCGTTGCCCGTGAGTCATGATCCAAGAACACGCGGTACATCTGCGTATAAATCCGAGATCGTATGTAGTATACAAGCAAGTGAAGAATCATATATAGACAAGCAAGCTACCAAGATATGTCAGTTTTTGCATGCTGAACAGAAGAGCAATAAACAGCCAGAGTAAGTTACCGAGATAGAAAAACTATCCAATAGTAATATGCCAATTCGTGAATCACACAGGACAACAAGCAGCATAACATCAAAGGCTGACAACTAGAACCCCTGGTAAACTTCCATCAAGCATTCTTCAGGTTGTTGCCAACCATCAATTTATATAGGGCTAATCCACCTCGATGACAGCCAGGCATCTTGGAAGTCATGTTTTCTAAGTCAATCTGAGAAATACAGAACTGATGAGTAGTTTCAAGGCACAAACGAGTTAAAATTAATTAACCATCACTGATGCTCTTAATTGACAGCAGTGCACCTAGACGGGAAAATAAATAAGCAACCATGTTATCACCAATGGATGGATCTCATACCATTACTAAATGAAAAAAAGCATTGAATTACCACTGTGACAGCATATAGCTGAGTTGACTCGTAGCCATCTTGAGCACCAGAATAAAACTGCTGAACTTCCTTGGAATCGAGACTGCATTTGATATAGAAAAATGCAGCTGGTCTCACATTCAATTCTCTCCGTGATACACCAATGAAAACTGGAATGCTCTGCATGACGCAATCAAAAGATCAAATTTAGATACCAATTCTATCAACCCATCTAACCCCAAGTTAAGGGGAAATCTTACTGCCATCCTACACTTCTTTTAAAATGACATGATACAGGATATTAGCAATTCAAACTGGGAACTTGTCAAAGAAAATAAATGCAGTCAAAGAACAAGAGGTGTATAGCAAGAGTCAAAACATATGATTCATGATGTCCTCATAGCTAACATATAGAGGATAACAGCAGTCGTTTCCTACACTGTGTTCATGTTCGTATTAAATTAAGAATGAGACTTACAAGGGACGAGGCTGGCACCCCAATTTCTTCAACTACTTCTCGAACTGTGCTGTCAAACATCTCATGGGAAACCTTATTGTTACCAGACTCTGTTAACTCCTTACAGTGTTGATGGGATGCTATTCCAATTTCATGAGGCTGCCAACCAAAAGAAGTTTCACAATAAATTCCAGTTAAAATAGTTGTTAGTAAGACATATAATGGCAGAAACTATTTCTTTTTTATAAGCATTCGTTCTACTACATGAATGAGCAGATATCACCACACGGGATACATCATGCCCTCATTGACAAATCAAACAGAAAGTTCCGAAGTATCTGCTCTCTTTAAATTGATATCAACGTTAAAGGTAAATCTATTGTATCAAAACTAATAACAAGCCATATACCATATTTTAAAATTTTATTTCTCTGTTAAGTACCTCTGGATGCCCTCCCGGGAAAACAAAATGTCCGGGAAATTCACCAACATTATTACTTCGTTGTAATACAAGTATCTTCTTGTCAATAGTCTCCACAATTGCACCGTTTCCCAGTGGACTGGCAGTATGCTGACAAAGAATAGAATCGTCTGAGGAAACAAAGAAAGATGGGAGCACTTTAAATTAATGATAAAGTCAAATAGCACCGAATGAAGGGATAAAAAATGAAGAAAGAAGACAACACTACAGGAACATAAAAGCATATCTATTTTGCGCCATCTGATTACGTTCGTCTTAGACAATTTATTCTAAAGACTCTTAATTAAAGCAATAAAATCAATTTATAAATCAAAACATCCAAGTTTGAACAAATTTTATTGAATGGTGCCTACTTTGTCCTTGTAAATTCTATTACAATTCATGAAGCATCTGATTTAGATGCACTCTCTTCCTGCATCTGCTAATTAAAAATGAACTTCTCCACCTTCTTGCAGCAAGAATGTGGATGGACTTCAAAAGGACCACATGAAGCAACAAACTAATGCAAAATTCTTATCTTTCTTCTACCCTGCTTCAAGTTGATCATATCATGCGTTCATAGTTATTGATTGAGGAAGAGTAATATGCCCCCAGTGGTCAATGATTTCTGCAATTATTGGTACCACCTCTACTTTAGGAACAGAACAGACAACAGATCATAATATGTTCCAAAATTCCAAAATACAAAAACAGTCCGCCAGATCCAAGTGGACCAACAGAAAGAGCTGTCTAACTACCTCAAATGCAATTTTTTTTTCATTAACTCACCCTTCGACCCCTTCCCTGCTGATAAGACATTGTACCATGTCAATGGTTGACAGTAACCACACTACTCAAGGTCAAAAACACAAACCATACTACTTTGAAGTCACAGGGTCCCCATGATTGTTAGTGAGAGAGAGAGAGAGAGAGAGAGAGTATTATACCTTCTGATGGAACCAGGAACCGCTCCCACAAATGACTTAAATTTGTCCCAACAAAAGTCCTGGATAAGTATAACCAAGCTGAATATAAGACACATGGAATAATGTAAATGATAATACTAGCAAAAAAAAAAAAAGTCTGCTTTGCTAAATAACACCACCTGAGACATTATTCAGAGCCATATCTGTTAATCATTTTCAAATAAATTTAACGCTGAATAAATAGAATAGAGGTCAAGTGTAAATAAATTTTACGACAGACACTAGCATAATTTATATATATTTGAAAGTAACAATTTGATTTTCGTTTTGTTGTCAATTATATCATCAGAGCATTCTTACTCTATTGAGAAGAGATGCATCTTTCTGTCCAACACTTTTAATAATGAACAAAAATGGCAAGTCATAAACATGAACATCAATAATCCATAGACAGTAATAAGATCAGCAAAATATCTAAGGAACAAATTCTTAAGGGAGATTTTATCACAAACGAAAGCAGAACTAAATCACCACCCTTTAAATGTCACAGATCATGTTAAAAACATAAACAAATTTTTCAAGAATGGAACATTTACAAATTATTTTTCAAGAAACAGATGTTGAAGATAGATTTTATCACAAAAGCATGACAGAGTCACCATTGTTTAAATTTCAGAAATCATCTTAACTGCATAAACAAATAGTTTCAAGAATGGAAAATTCACAAATCACTGATCAACTAAACAAACGTATGTAAGTCAGTATATCGTACAATGACAAGCAAGCAAATAAAGACAATGGAGGAAGAATTTGAAAAAGGGAGGGAGACTGGGAGAGAAGAGACCTATAATCGGTCAAACCAAGGTGGAGGCATACATGAGGCTCGTGGTCAGATCCACCTCCCCCTCGCAACATAAATCCCCCATACTGTTAGACAAAGATCATTAGATGCTGTGTCAACTCTCTTGCTAAAATCATGTAATTGGTCTAATGTTCGTCAAACTTATATCTACATATTAACCGCAACTAAGAAACCAAATGACTAAAATATTAGAGCTTAAATGCCCAATGCCTGACATTAACTATCAAAAAATATTGTTCAGTTAGAAAAAAAGGAAATAACACAATGCACGTCAAACAAGCTTGAATTTACCCTGAACTTCTTCCCATTGTACAGTGACTTGTTTTTCTGATTTCTCTGCTCCCATATCTACGAAAAAGAAATCGTAAATAAGCGTAAAGGTTGTAAATCCGGACTGTACTGATAAAGCTCGAACATTTCACAAAATGAATCATGATCATAGATCCACATGCTCAACACTAAAAACTGAACAATTTAAGCAACATGCCATCAGCAGTTACGCTCTGTGTGCGCAGAAAAACGACAGTGAGAGATCAAAGGGACGAATCCGACACACCTCAGTGATTGTGTTCTCCAAATTAACATCAGGGTGGGGAATCCGATCGTAGGCACCACTGAACACCACAGAAACCTTTGAGCAAACAAGAAATGCGTGAATAACAAGTTACACTTGAGCAATACACATTCACATCCCGACGTCACAAGAGTGAGGATTCGAGATTGAAACAAACCTGCGGGGACGAAAGACCAGAGGGACACGATACCAGAAGCTTGAAAGAGCACGGTTCTACAGCACTGTCAGCATGTCTCGCTTCCTCCGCCATTGGAATTTGGAATTGCAGAGAGACATGCTCAGGAATGTTGATGTTCGAAATCGATTGGGCTTTTCATTGGGCTTATTGCATTCTTTTTCGCATATGGACTACGTCATGTCTAGAAGACCAAGAAGTTGTGGGCCTTCTTGTTTTGTTTTTTTTACAATCTCATGAGAAGAGATCATCATCTACATATACACACATAAAATTAAAATTAAGAAGTTCGACCAAAAAAAATTAATATTAAGAAGAGGGAACTTAAATGGTTATTTAGTGCCTTTTCAAAAATAATTCACCTTTATTTTTTAAAATCAAATGCTTTGGCTGACTTTTTCTTTCATAAAAAAATTCACTCAACCCACGGGTTTTGCTACCTGCCAGTTTATTTATTATAAATAAAGGATGCGGAAATGTGGAATAATAAATTAATAAATACAAAGGCAAGCATGTTCTGACACGCCAGAAATAAAAACAGAAAAAATGAAATCGCTCTTCAGTCCCTGCGGTGTGGGTTATTAATTAATTATTGTTTTTAATAAGATGTACTCTGCGTTGGCAGGTCATGTTCTCTGTCATTTTCTTGAGTTGTGAAGATGTGATTGATCCCAGGTGCCACTATCAGGGAAAGTCGTCCCAGTTGTAACAAAAACACACACAACGCAACAAATACACATATAAAAGAAAATCAGTCTTTTATGGCAACAAATACACATAGTATTTATCGTTGAATGGTTTTTTTTTTAAATAATCGATCTATTGTGAAACTGAGAGTTAATAATCATGCATCTATAATTCCAAAATGGTATATCAACTCAACAGTATTTTATATTAGATCAATTTCTACTAACAAAAAAATTAACGGATTAGTTTAATTCTTTAAATATAAAAGAATATTAATTAATTAGAAACTATTCATTGTTATGTGACATGCATGCGTGTGTGGTCATGAGACTAGATATGCATGTGGCATGTAATACTAAAAAAGTCCAATTGAATAAAAGATACCGAGGCAGGTAAAGAGAATGGATAACTCTATGATTGGTAAAATTATGGATTAGACTGTGGGAATGCATATTGCTGCGAGCTTGATCTTGTCTATCACATGAGGCGCGAGACTGGCTCGGAGGAGGGCCACAATATTGCATTATGCCCATGTGGCACTTCATAATTCTCTGGACCCTTTTTTTTTTGTTGGGGGGGGGGGGTAATTCAGAACGAGTAATATATCCCCAATAAATGTCTTTCGTGTTGGACCTTGCATCTGCCATTATACTTGAAACTCATTCCCTGTATTCCCCTGTCAAAATGGTTCAGAAGAAAAGGGTCTTTCTCAATTTACGATTATCATCACAATCCCGTAATATGTTTGATCCTAGATACTACATGCTCCCTCAAGTCCTTTTTATAAATCCACGTTCGTTAACTAATTTTCTAAGGTTGAAAAAATTTTTAAATTCAATTTTTTTTTCAACTTTTGAAAATTTCCCTGTGATTGTTATATATGCTTCATTGGGGGAGATGGAATAGCTATTAGCAGTCAAGTTTAAAAACAAATATAAGTATTTCAATCGCTTATGACTCCAAACCCTAAACATGATGTTATAATATATTTCAGCGTTCGTTTCATTTTACAAGGTTTTCTTCCTTGTGCGCTCTTGACTCAGTCTCCCTCTCCCTCTCCCATGTTCGTGGATTCAATTTCATGCAAGCGCCATATAAGAAACGCACTCATGAGACGGGATTTTTGTTACTTGGACAAAAAGAAGCTGGCCGAGATCCGAAGACGCTCAATGATGGAGGAGGTATTATTTTATGTAATTTAAGTAATTAGTAAGCAGCATGCGTGTTTCGAATCGTGTAAAAAAACATATTAAAAATTCAATTAAATTCAATTTTTTTTATTTTTAACTTGTTGGATGTTATAATTTAATATCCGATAGGCGTGTTCAATGTATTACACTACTACTGAACCCAAAAAAAGAATATGTGTAAATATACATTAATAGAATTGGAGCTTGTCTGCAGACTGCAGGGGGTCACATGCAGGCTGCAGCACCAAAAGGCTCGGCGAATTATTTAATATTATGTAAAGATAGAGGAAGCAAACGAAGGAGAAGGCATCCATCGGACGACCATTAATAAATTACTTCACAATTTTGGGCTTTCGGCCATCTCTTCCTCCCTCACATTTATTGCCCTGCCCTCGCTTTTTTGCTTTCACAACTCCTCCTATTTATAAATTATTTTTAATAAATTTTATTATAATTAAAGAAATTTTTTAAATTCATAAACTTTATTTAAAAATTAAATAAATTTTTTATTTTATCTTTATTAAATATACACATTTTGGTTATGTATTTCCTTTCCCTACTATTTAATGAAAGCTAAGAGAAATTTATAATAAAAATTTAATAATATGATTTATAAATATATAAAAAAATTCTCCCTCTCCCTTATAAATAAGAATGGAAGGAGTAATATCCTCACTTCCTTGCACTAACGAGTAATAATTTTACTAATTACTATTCTCTCCATCATAAATTATAAAATGCTTTTAGAGTAAATATGGCTTTTCAAACACTTTAATAAAAATAAAATTTTATTAATGATATTTTTTTTAATATTAACATTCTCATGATATTCTATCTATTTAATATTCTCGCATAATAAAGTATTAAATAAATGTCATCTTTTATAATTTATCTTTTGTTTTTTCAAAAAATAAAATTGTGAAATATATTTAATAAATTTTACTAATATATATAATTTTATCTAAAAATATTTTATAATTTGGGAAGAATCTTAACCTAGCTAGCACACTACCTAATTTTATTTGGCAAACTTTTGCGTTTAATAAGCAGTCTGGTTGGCTCTCAGGTTTAAAGAAAACCCTTGATTCAAACTCGAGCGTAATGAATGCAAGTAATTAAGATTAAGATAAATCAGGTGCTTTTGGAAGAGACAAGCCTGATGGCGTGTTGTCCTTTTGTGTTGACAAACAAAAGGACATGAAGACATCAATAAAGGAAGACCAAGAAATGTGAGTAGTTAAATGGCGATTTAAGAGTTTAAATAGACCGTTGACACAAGCATGTGAGTTTGCTAAAACATTTGATGTTGAGGCTTGGATGATGTTAAAAATTCAATGCGGGGCTGTTGAATCTGTTGCATCTGAACTGTCCGCGGGCTCCATCATCGCCACCTTCTCGCACTTATATATGAATGTTTGGTAACCTCCTTTCACTATATTCATTGCGTTTAAGCAAAAAGGTTCTAATAAGCCCATCCAGGAATTATATATACATAACCAGCAACAACCACACTTCTGGCGTTCTGCGAGACTCTTAACACAAATCACTACACTAATGTAACGTTGAGTCTGAAATATAGAATTCCCTTTTCTTAATCAAATTAGTACAGAAATAGCACTTAATTAGTTTCTCCTAACATTTGACTTTACAGAAAAATTATGGATTTATTTTATTATTTTAAAAACTGGTGTCTTATAAAATATATTCTAAAAAAATAAAAATAAATGTTTTTTGCATTCTTCTTTATTTTTAAGAATAATAATTCTAAAATATCTAAAAAAATGCTTCTGTTTTTCTATTCTTTAAAATAATTTTTTTTTTTCAAAACAGTTTTTAAAAACATATTATCAAACAAATTTTTTTATTTTTTTATTGTATAAAACAAAAACTTGTTCCTAAAACTGGCTGCCTGTCAAGCGCTATATCTCTTGACTTGTAACTTCAATTCATTCGTCTTTAAATCCCTCTTATCTAGTTGGTTGTGGTGGCCGAAAACAAAGGGTCATATCTCGTTTCAATCAAATTTCTGCCAATATTACACGAATTGGCTATTATGCCGTAGAGTAGTACAGCTTTTCTAAGCGACGTTTAATTTTCAGAAAAGTTGCCATCACTGCTATTTGGTTGGTTCAGCAGCCTCATAACTACGCAATAAATTAGTAACATAAGGTAGGAGGAGGCACATAAAGAAGTCTTACCCTCTAATTTAAAAATATAAAATATTTTTAATTAAATCTCACCATTTAATAAAATAATTATATATTTTTTAACTAATTATATATTTTTATACTTATTTTTATTAAATACTATATAATAAATATAAAATTATTATTAATAAAAACACTTTAAAAAAATAATAATTACATTTTAAAAAAATAAAAATATTTTATATTTTTTAACATTTAATTCTTTTAAAAATATTTTATATTTTTAATTAGAGAAAGTATTTGCAATAAAAATTTGAACTCAATACACCTACATAAACAGGAAACAATTTTCTATAATGGGAGATCAATGGGGAAGAGGGGGCAATTCCAAGAAAAAAACATTTATACAAACATATATTCCAGAAAAAATAAATTAAAATCCCATCATCAATTGATAGGAAATTTATACAAGGCAAAAGGCACTTTTTCCTTAATTTCCTCTTTTTTATTTTTTATTTTTTATTTTTTGCCAAATAGTAGAAGAGAAATTAAATGGAACTGTTAAGCATAACGAATAAAAAAGAAAAGAAAAGAGGAAAGTAACTAGCAGGGGACCAGAATACCCTTTCTTCAGTGGCATGCTTCTCTGGTGCGTGTTAGAAGCAGCACACCTTATTGGGTAATGAACCCTTGAAGGGTTTAACAATAACGAGTATAATTAATAGTGTGCAGAGAAAACTATTTGAAATTAAATAACACAAATTAAACCGTCCCACCAGCAAGGACCAATTTACTTGAGAAAATCTGGGATTTGCACGTTGGGAAGATCCTCCGCCGTGAGGTCATTGATCCAACCATACTTCTCCATGAAAGGATTGGCCAGAGAATCTGGTGGATAGTCATCAATACAATCGTCCCACACATTCTTACCTCCCACATCTCGCATTACCTCCCACAAACAGCTGTTACATTTAAAGCCTGCACCAAAGCTTATCATGAACACTGTATCCCCTTTCTTCAGCCTCTTCTTGGCCTCCATGTACCCCAACACATACCACAGACTACTTGCAGACGTGTTGCCGAAACGGTGTAGGGTCATCCTTGCTGGCTCCAGATCGTACTCGCTCAGATCCAAGCTCATTCCGATCCCGTCTATCACCGCCTTTCCTCCCGTGTGCAAGCAAAAATGATCCACCCCAGTTTTGAAATTCAATGGCGATTTCGTGACTCCGCCGCTTGAAGACTTGGGCGGACTACCCATAACGCTCAGCTTTTTTATCAAGGACACCACCATAAACCTCAGCAGCTCCCTCATGGGTAAAATCTTGGGTGAGATTACCCTCAAGTTGTCTACGAATGCCCTCGTGGCTGCCTTTGGGAGAGTCTTCCCCAGGTGAAACCCTAGCCTTCCTTGCTCATCTTCTTTCTGAATGCAACAGTTGTACGCTTCTTCTCTAGACCCGTGATGGGTCCTCACCAGACACTTTAACTTCAACATCACCTTGTGCTTTAAGGACCTTTTGTTGGTCAATAAAATGGCACACCCTCCGGACCGAAACAAGCAATTGGCTAGAACCATGGATTTGTCGTTCCCGGAGTACCAATTCGGACTCAGGGACTCCGAAGTGACCAAGAGCGCGTACCTGTTCTTCTGAGTCTTGAAAATGTTCTTAATAATGTCGAGCGAAATGAGGCTAGCGCTGCAACCCATGCCGGTGAGGTTGTAGACCTTGATATCCTCCCTCATCTTGTAATGATTGATGATTCGAGAGGACAAGGAGGGGAGGGAAGCGAACATGGAGATGTTAACGACGAGGATGTCAATGTCTGAGGGGGAAATGGCTGACCTGGCGAGAAGTTTGGCGATGCTGTCGTGGAAGAACTCCTCCATCTCGGAGATGCCATCGTCGAGGGTGGGGGAGGCTTCTCGGCCGGAGAAGACGTTTCTCGGGGCGTAGGTTTGCTCGCCGATGCCAGAGCTGACGATGGCTTTGAGGAGGAACTTGTACTCGCCGAGGCCAAGGTTTCGGTTCGCTTGATGATCCTCCCGCAGAACTCGGTGGAGAGCTTTCGATCGTCGGTGGGTTTGTAGCATTGATAGTCGAGGATGTAGCATTCTTGGTCTTTTTTGCGGTCGAAGAACTTCCAGATCGAGAAGCAGAAGTAGGATGCCAGAACAATGTAGAGAACAGTGATGGGGTCCATTGTTGCTGAGAATGAGAGGGGAGAAGATAGGCTGAGAAATTTGTTGACGGACGAGAATTTCAAAATGGACTGCTTTATAGCAAGGGACTCTCAGCGAGTGAGGCTGTGACTATTATGAACTTTATCAATATTTGTTTTCCCACGTTCATAAATGGCTTTCCACTCTCTTTTCAACCAAAAAGTTAATGCAATTATTAAGTCTCGGTTCACCACTTAGTTACGTACATTTACCTGGGTTGATTGCTAATTAATCTCTTCTTCCGCGGATGGCTACGCATGGAACTGTGGAAGCTCCAAGGTTATACCTAAAAAGAAAAATTATATTTAAGAACCATTCAAATAAATTATTTATGGATAAAGATTAATAACAAGTCTCATTAAAAAAATTAATTATGTTCTCAATTTAATAATAATCCATTCCGTATTAATCATTATCTATAAATAATTTATTTAAGTGATCTTTAGTTATAATTCTTCCTGTCTAGAATTAATATTATATCATATGAGTGTGTGTGTGTCTCATTATCTATTCTGTTTCAAAAAATTCAGGTGTAATATCTGAAAACAGGTTTATAATATGTTCCAAAGAGATAATTAATTTGTCTTTAATGATTTTATTCTAATCTTCTTCAATTTGGTCATTGTGTGTGCGCGCATAATTGGATCAAGAAATTCATAAAGAATCTCAACTACATTTAAGAACTACTCAAATAAATTATTTACAGGTAACGACTGACAATAGATTTCATTTTTCAAAAAAGTTATATTCTTATTTTAATAACAATCTATTCCATGTTGATCATTATCTATGAATAATTTACCTAAGTAGCTAGTCCTTAGATATAATTCTCCTTGTCTAGAATTGAATATTATATTATATGAATTCGTGTGTGTTTCATTATCTATTTGTTCCAAAAAATTCAGGTGTGATATCCGAAACAGGTTTATAATATGTTTCAAAGAGATAATTAATTTGTCTTTTATGATTTTATTTTAATCTTCAATTTGATCATCATTATGATTTTTTAATATGAAAAGAATTGAAGGGTGCAAATCAAAATGCAGTATGATTTATACACACACATATATAAGCTATGTCAGCCAAATTGAAGAGAAATTATTTGGACATGAGAATTTCAAAAAGTTGGCCAAAACAGGAACCAAAAAGGATAATTAGATCAAGGAATTCATAAAGAGTCTCAACTATTATCCTAGTATAGCTACAGAATTTATGAGAATTTTGAAAAGTTTTAATTTTTGTTAGAATGTTAAGCTTTGTAAAATAAATGTCTATTTTGATTTTATAAAAGCTTTATCTCTTATCGAACATGATCACTTTAAAAAACACCCTTTCTCAAAGTATAACAAAAAATATCAGAAATCTTACTATAAAGGATTGAGAAATCACCTTTAATCATGCTTATAAAGAAGCGAATGGATGCATCAACTTGTTTGTCTATCAAACATCCTGAGATAACTTTAATATTATGGTTTTAGATAATCCACCACGTGATTATATTAACTTTATTGTTTTAGATATAATTTAATTTTAATTTCCTTACATGATTTACCCGTGATCTAATATTAAAAAAAATAAAGAAAAGTTGGTCAAACAAAGGTATTCTGCAAAGAAAGTAAATGCAGACTTTCATGTCAACCTTTTACAGTGGCAATGAAAAAGAAGAGCGAGCCTTGAGGCTTCGAGTGCCCATCTGGGCTGGGATACATAGGTGCAAGTTCCTCCTCAAGGCCATAGTCATCTCCATGTGGTTGTCCGCATTTAAAAATGACAGGGTGGTAGATATATAATATACATGTTAAAAGATAAAGAAAATTCTACATTTAAATATTAAAAAAATTATAAATATATAAATTTAAAAACTATTTAATTAAATAATTTAAATTATTTTGATATAGTATATTATCCTTAAACACACTTAATATAAGAATACTAATATGATATCATGAGCTATTTGATTAGGAATAAAAAATGAGAAAAAAAAGAAAAAAAAATGAAAGACACAAAAAAAAAAAAGATTGTGAGAGAGAGAGAGAAGAAGAAGAAGAAAAAATTAAATAGATTTAATGTCTCTGAGGCTTAAAAAAAAGTACAATTCATGTAAGAAAAAGGAAAAGAAGAAAAATTAGTGGAGGGAATATTAAAAACAAAAGAAAGTCTTACATCTAAATATTAAAAAATAAATTATAAATATATAAATTTATGAAATATCAAACTAAATAATTTAAACTATTTTAGTAGAATATTTTATCTTTAGACACATTTAATATAAGAATACTAACAATACAAAGGAAAGCTCTGACGTGGAATCATTTTTTCATGTTTTGCTGAAATTGCGAGAAATTTCAAATGTAAACAATATTTTAAAAATGAAAAAGTGTAACTTGTTCGAGTGAAATTTTAATTATTTCGTTAAAGTATTATTTATTAATCCATAATTGGTTCATGTGTATGTTTGTGTCTGTCTTTTGCGTGTAAAATTTGACCAAACATTATATAATTTAATCTATTATGTACTTGGGACAAGGATCATTTTACTCCCTTAACTTTGCCTAAAAGGTCACTCAACATTCTAAATTAATTATAGATTAATTTTATCTTTCAATATTAAATATTCTTTCTTTCGTCACCCTATCATTTTGTCACTTTTTTCATTGTTAGTGTGTCCTATGTTATATTTTTTAATATTTTTTTATTATAAATATATGAATTGAGAGTACCCACTAATTTTTCATGTAAAAATATGTGCTTGGGCCTAAAATGTCTACATTTAAATAAAAGCCCAAAATAGCAGAAAATGAAGAATCAAGCCCAATAAATTGTCTAATAAAGTAGAGCCCAATTCATTTAAAATAGACCTTTCAAATTAAGTAAGTGTTGAGTCATTAAAGGAACGTGATCCTTGAAACTCCAAGCGACTAAGCTAAGAGGACCATTATTTGAATGCAAAACCATTACTTAGACATGCCTCGAAGTTTGTAAGACCTAGCCTTGTAGGAATGGATATTTCGGCATGAAGCATCCAGGCTCCTAGTTTTGCGAACACAATGACCTCTAACAAACACTGTAAATAGAGCTTTAGAGAGGAAAAGAAAGGCAACAACAAACAATAAAACAATTCAGATATTTTATCACTTAATTTATCTTTTATATCAATTTATATTTAGAATTTAGTTCTTATTTTCAATTTTCCTGTACTTTTGTAGCTCTAAGTAGTGTTACACCATTAATCAAGTTACTTTTTTCCAATTACCTATTGCAATTTTGCATTCAAGCAAATTGAGATGAGAGAGGATGGGAACCCTCGTTTATATTAAGACTTTATGTCTCTAGCATACTTAAAATTTTACTGTCACAAACAACATGTAATGAAAAATATTTTTAATATAAATATAAAATAAACTAGACATTATACAATTTAGTTTGTTATATATATATATATATATATATTATGTATTCTGTATAAAGTTATGATTATTTAAACAAAAGTTATAATCGAGACTAATTATTTTCATAACTTATTTATTAATCATAAAAGAAATCTAATGTGAAAGTTATCATTTATTGTTTAATTTTTTAATTTACAAAATAAAAGTTGTCATTGCTTAAATAAAAGCTTTGATTGAAAAAATAGAGCTACACGCATTATTTTTATTTTAAATAAGGGGTAATTTAGTTATTTAATCTAAAATCATTAATGTCAGAAATGGACCCAAGAATTTTAGAAAAATTATAACACTTTAAGGGACCTAATTATTTTATATTTTGATGGAATTTTATTTGTATATGAATAACACTTGCAGTGATCCAGTTTTATAACCATGGTGATCTTTTGAAGTTTGAAGTGTACCCAATGGGATGTTAATAACTTGTCGTGGAACCATTACTCTCTCCTAAAAGGTTAACCCATTAAGGTGTGTAATGCACCCGTTTATGTAGCCAAAACCCTCCTCAAGCCCCTCCGATGTGGAACTTGACAGTTCCCCCAGCCAATCTATGAGGCCTCTATCACGGGGGCCCACTATGACTATAAATTCGGGACTGGATCTGATATCATATTATCACGAAGCCATTATTCTCTCCCTAAAAAGTTAATCCATTAGGGCGAGCAACGCACCCACTTATATAATCATAACTCTCTCTGAGTTCCTCCAATGTGAGACCTGACAAATTGCTCTAAAATATTAGTTCTCGATCAAACTTATACATCTACAAACAAGAAAATGTTAGGAAATTTGTGGATATATTATCATAAGCACATCTTACATGAGTATATTATTTTTTTTAATATTAAATGGGGCAAATAAAAAGTATTATAACAAATCTGACCATAAAGAATAGTTATTTTTTCAATCAAGGATGGTTCTATTACGTATTATAGGATAGTTGTTAAAGAATGATCCTATATGAGATTCTAGATTTTGACCAAATCTGAAACCACAAAGACCATATAGAATGGCTATTAAACTGTCTTATGTTGAAGACAATACAAGGCGATTGTTAAAGAATGGTCTTATACGAGGTTTCAAATTTTGACTGAATCTAGAACAACAGAGGCCGTATAGGATGGTTAATGGTCATAATCGTCTTATAAAGCTAAGTTTTTTTAAATACACAAAAACAAAAACACTAAAAAAATTCAAGAACTACCCAAATTAATTATACTGCTCAATTCAAAACTGTAATATTTACAATTTTATTATATAAAAATTATTTATTTAAAATTTTATTATATAAATTAATCTTTTAAAACTAAAATATCAATCATTAAAATATCTAAATTATATATATTGACAATTAAACTAATCTATTCCTAAACTAACTATATATTATCACCTCGTATTGGATGTGACCTACTTTTTATATGCATATTCACTCCAATCTTTGAGGACTTCATTAATATGGGTATTCTCAAAATGAGGCGTAACATAATTTGAATAGTATTACAAACATACATGACAACGAAATTAGTTGATGACAATTAATATTCATTATAATACAAAAACCAAATAATTTATACAAAATGGTAGAAATCATGAGGAGGATTGTAAGCTGCACGTAAGTGATG